CCATCATGATTAGAATCATGACAAGTTTATTATTTCTACTAAAAAAGATACAATATATTTTCCCTAATCTTTATGGTTCAATTATTTTTTTTTTCACTTTAAAAGAAGCCAGATGTGGGCGTCCACTGGTATTGGATTTTAATAATAGAACCGGCGAGCTTTATATTGCAACTAGCCACTTCGGCCCAGTGCCTTCCTTTTCGATTGACAAAGGATGTCGTCGTCGACCAGACTAATTGTGTCGTCTATTTCACCGACAGCAGCACGAAACTCTCACGAAGTAATACTGGAAGATTGCTGGTGTTCGATCCCAAAACAAGAGCAGTGAGGGTTCTTACTACTGGGCTCATGTTTCCGAATGGTGTCGCACTCAGCCAACGAGGTGATTTCATTTTAGTGATGGAGAGTACCAATGCCCGAGTCTTGGTTTTTTGGCCGAAGCACTCGAAATAAAAATAAAAAAAAAATAAAATCAGTACATCAAATTATATTCTCTCTTTTTTTGTCCATTATTTTTTCCCAGGCTGCCTTGGTCAATCAGCTTTTTTGGTTTTGCGGCAATTCAAAACCACTTTCCATATAATTAATTAATAAAACCATTATGAAATTCTAAGCGGACAGAGAAAAGAAATTATGAAAAAAGAATCAGAATCCATGCATGAATATGTTATCAATTCTGAACCCTACTAGGAATAAATCAAAATTGACTCTAATTATTCTCTATAAATATGGTATAAACCAACTTATGTCACACCCTATCCTTGCAACAAATAAAGTTTTGTTCTCTTCTCGTAATTCTTCAAACTACATCTAGCTTAATTTGTTGGAGTTCATAAAATCTCATTGTAAACATGTGACTCAATAGCTACATTTTCATGCCTAGTCGTATACTAAGATTGATACAAAGATTTCCAATTTTCGGTGCGTCTGGACCTGAGAGTATCGCTTTGGATCCAACTGGCGGTGGCCCACACACTGGAGTTTCTGATGGTCGAATATTAAAATGGGACCCAATCCAAAACCGCTGGAATACTTTTGCAGTTACCACTCCAATTCGGGCTAGGTGTTAAGGATCTCACTATTACACTTCAACAGAAGCCATATGTGGGCATCCACTGGGATTGGATTTTAATAAAAGAACCGGTGAGCTTTATATTGCAGACGCTTATAGGGGTTTATTTGTAGTTGGCCCTAGGGAAAGAATCGCTACAAAACTAGCCACATCGGCCCAGAGCCTTCCTTTTCGACTGACAAACAATATAGTGGACTAGACTAGTGGTCTCGTCTATTTCACCGACAGCAGCACGAAATTCTCACTTTAAGATTATGGTTCAATAATCTCTACTGGAGATAATACTGGAAGATTGTTGGTGTTCGATCCCAAAACAAGAGCAGTGAGAGTTCTTGCTAATGGGCTCATTTTTCCGAATGGTGTCGCACTCAGCCAACGAGGTTATTTCATTTTAGTGACAGATACTACCAATGGCCGAATCTTGAGATATTGGCTTTGGCCAATACCAGGAAAATTGACTGGCACGATTGAGCTATTTGCACAACTTCCGGGTAATCCGAACAATATCAAAAAAAACCAGAATGGTGACTTTTGGGTCCATCTGAAGACGGAACTCACAAAAAAATTAAAAAAATCAAGAAATAACTTTGCTAAATAAATAAAAATGCTAAAAAACTGGAATTAAAAAAAATGAGCAAAATTTTATTTTATTCTTTCCTTTATAAAGGACTGACTATCGTGATTCTCAGGATGAGAAACCTTCTGAAAAACTAAAGCTTTCAAATCAAATACTTTCTATTTTGCATCATACATAATGTAAGATTTGATTATTAGTATACCTTAATAAAGTATTGTGTACCTTAATAACATATCCAACCGTCACAATCAATACAAGGTGAAATTTGATCATAAATATGTTCAAGTATCCAGTCTCTGACGGTACACACACGAATAATTCTTGGGACACAAACACAAGGCATGACGACTAAATCTTGAGATTATGATAAGGTTTATAGAACCGACAACAATTCCAAAACTTGTATATGTGACTCAGGAATTGAATGACAGCCTAGTAGTTAAGTTGCTGTCCTTCTTGGTAATAGACTAGGGTTCGATTCCTACCAGGGGTTGTAAGGGGGGTTTTACTCACATTTAAGTGGGGTCTATTGGGGTGGATTTTTTTATTTTTTATTTTTATAAAAAACTTGTATATGTGACTTTTTTTTGTTAAGTTTCTCATATAGGGTTGAGTCAAATCCCACGACTTATCCTTATACTAAGAATAAATGTCACAGTGTGCAAGAAATTAAATGTCAAGAAATTAATTGCCGCCAATGGATGGCTTTGATCTGACCATCCATTTATATCCTGTGGTGAAACCATGACATCAACCATTTAAGTGAGGTCAAAATCAGAATTTGATAAAACTTTTTGTCCCCTATACCTGAAAATACTCTGTTTTCCTTCTGTAAAAAACCCCAAACCTGTCTTGAGGGATTTTGATTAAAAAAAAGAAACAAAAGGACCACCATCATCTTACTCCAAGTACTTGAGGATTTCGTTATCCTCTTTTATCAAAATTTTTCTCGTAAAATCAGTTAGACAAGTTGATAAATAACGGTCTTCAATGACATCCATTCCTCCATCTTTTATTGTACCAAACAAGCCGTGAGGCTCCAAAAGACATAGATTATTACTGCCAACAAAAGCCTGGGCCATGATCATAATAGTTTCTAGAAGAGAATGTTTTTGTGGTTAATGGCTTCCTTACATACCGGCGAGAACAATGAGTTTTTCTTTATCGAAATAGTTTCTCTGGTGGGCTGTAAATAAAACTTTCCTCTGTTTTGGCTTCAAACCATCAATGGTTATGGGAATGTGATTTGAAGTTTGAACTAGCAGCTACCTGGAAAAATGAAACTAGACCCTTAAAAGTGTTCAATTTCTGAATTTGAAGTCCATTAGAGGAAGGTACTTGGGACTTTCCAGTTGATTGTTAAAGGAGCATGTTTGTCTCAAAATTTTCAAAGTAAGCTATTTTAAGAGTTGGGATAAGATCACATTAAAGGGACTTGGTAAATAAAGAAATTTGTAAACAAGTATTAGCACAATTTAGGTGATTAGGTGTTTTGAACAAGCAATGCTGAAACTTTAACAAAATCATCTATCTCATAACTATAACAGGGTTCAATTATATAAAGAGACACAATATGCTAAAAATACAAATAAGAGAATTGAATTGTTACATCTTTTTTTTAAAAAAGAAACTACTATCACTTTATTAATCTTATTAATGTTTGATTTTTAAAACAAAGATAAATTGCTGAGCTCATTTTAGATATTATTAAGTATGGAATGTGTTATCGAAATATAACCATCAAAGATGTTCTTAAATACGAACGATGTATAAAAAAGAATTAACAAAAAAACTGGTCGCGCAACGCACGCCGAGGATAAACCTAGATTATTAATAAGTCATTATAATTAATCTATTATATAAATTGATCCTTTCATTATCCCAAGTGATTGTCCTATTGCGTCCGACTCTTTTTGATTTCTAAACATATTAACAATAAATATAAATTACAAACCAATTATTAATTGGCTTTTGGACATCAAACTAACATTTGCCTCCTCCAAAAGAAAACCCCATACTAATTTGATCCTCCTATTCAATTGGGTACTTTGTCCACCGATTAAACCACCTGCTTATCTTGCCCCAGGCGGCACCAATGCTTGGCTGGATATCATATATTATTATCACAATGATGATGAAAAGATGAACACCAACGCTTAATCTTATGTCACCGGTAATAAAATTTTTTTAAAATAATCATTCATTTATATATAAAAAGAAATGCTCATTTTGTTAAAAAAAAAGAAAAATAAAAGGAAATGCTTAATATATTTTGAGTTTCGTTTTATTCATCTTTTTGTTGGTCACGACCAATCCCTCTACATTATACTACCTCTTTTTTTTTAAAATTTTTTTTTAAAATTACTCTTATCTCTCTCAACTTTTAATAACAGCTACATATTTTAATTAAAATTGTAATTATTTGCAATTTCAATATATTTAATTAGGGTTAAGAAAGGTATTCTAGTTAAAAATTAAAGTCTTAATCATTAGTTCCTTATGTGCATGACCAAATGCAACAGATAAAAATGGACGTAGTAACTAGTTGTGTACTCCATAGTCCACACAAACATTTTTATTCATCTTTTGTTAAAAAGTTACAAGGAATGCAATATTTGCATTTTTTTATTGTACATGTTTATGTTCTTTTTTTTATTTTTTAATTACTCCTTTTGTCCTAAAAATAATTGTCTTTTTTTTTTATTTTTAGTACAGTTTGTACTAAATGTGAAATTCCAAACTGAACAATCATTTCGGATGGAGGTAATATAAATTATTGATATGAATCGCATTAGTAAGAATATCAATGGTAAAAAAAAAATTGTAAAAACAATTCTTCTTTTTTAAGTGAGGGAAAAAGAATTGTAAACAATTTTCTGTAAACTAAAGGAAGCATATAAATATTTTTAACCTTCAAGTGATATTCTAATGGAGGTATGATTGTTTCAATATTGGAACAACGAAGGTTCCAGTTCAGGTTAAGTATGAAATAGTACCCGTCCCTATTCAGAACAAGTAGTTGTATATTTTATAAATAAAATTGGAAACAATACGAAACTTATAACCAAAACTCAGAATGGTTTGAACGATAGTATTCATGTATAATTTTTTTTTTTGCAAAATACTACTACTATATATTTTTAAAAAACTATGTCAATAATAATTTTATAATAACGGCCATAAATGCTTTTTGCCCTCTTGTATTTTAATTATGAATCGACTAATTTGGTCAGTGGGTACAATTTTAAAAAATTAAAACTTTTAAGGAACGATCAACAATTTTGTGAAACATCGTGGGAGGTTTCAGTAATTAATCCTTTTATATAAAACGAGGACCATCTTGGGGAACAAGACGTCTCTCTATTGGTTCAGTCTAATACAAATTAACCTTCAGCTCAAAAGCAAACAAAAATTTTGGGTTTGAGAAAATTGGCGACAGAGAATTACGATGGAGTGCGTATTCGGGCTCGTTGGGAAAGGATTTGCTCTGGTGGTGGCGGACACATCTGCAGTCCACAGTATTCTGGTTCACAAATCGAATGAGGACAAGGTCATGATCCTTGATTCGCACAAGCTTATGGGTGCCAGTGGTGAAGCCGGAGATAGGTATGACTTTTTTTTGTTGGGTTGGTATTGATGATTCTTTTGGTGTTTAATTGAGCTCAGATTGATTATTTTAATTTTGGCTTCTATTTTTTTACTGTAAAGTTGGGATTTTTTTCCAGTAAGTTTTAGGTTGCTGATTTAGGGTTTTTTCCCCCTCCCTTGCCCCATCCTGGCTTTCTTGTTGACCTTTCTGTTTTGGGTTTTTGATCCCTGTTGCTTGTTTGTTGTTTACAGTTTATTTGGGTTTTTTTTTCCTTCTACCATGTCAATTGTGCAATTACAATTAATGAAATTCTGATGTTTTGCCTAAAATTGGACCTATTAAAGGCCCTTAACTATTAGTTTGTTTTGTTTTCACTTTTCTGAATTTGTCTTTTGTTCGCGGTTGGAGATTCCTTAATGAGTTTTTACTTTCTTAGTATGTTGAAACTTCATAATTTTTGTCGTAAACCTCCCTTGCCTATCTTAAACAGTGTTTAGAAGTATTGCTTCTTAGTTATTTGTCGAAGGATATGCTGCTTTGGGGATTCTACACCTGTCAATGCCATTGTTCTTTCTGGTTTTGTTGACAACGCTTAATCGTCTTTTGGTGATTGCAGGGTTCAATTTACGGAGTATATTCAGAAAAATGTGGCCTTGTACCAGTTCCGTAATGGCATTCCGCTGACTACAGCCGCTACTGCAAGTTTCACTAGAGGGGAGCTTGCTACTGCCTTGCGCAAGGTAAGAATTTTAAGATCATATGCATTACACCAGCTTTTTTCATAATCATTTGTGATGGGTTCACTTGTGTATGTAGCCCAATTTGGTTAGTTTCCTTGGCATGTGATAGGTGTAGCTCATTTTAAACTCATCTGCGAAGCCAAGGTTCTCCAATTCCAATTCTGAACATTGTGGTGAAACAGTATTCTGACTGATTTCTTCCTTAAATAATCTAGTTAGGTATTCCATAACAATAACAAACAAGAGAGTAGAGATTGGATCTCCCTGTCTGATCCCTAATTTACCATTGGAGAAACCAACTAAATTACCATTCTGATTAATTGAATATGAACAAGTCTGGATGCATTCCATGATCCCCTCCCTAAATTTCCTTGGAAATCCCAGACCTTCTAAAGCTTCTTTAACAAACTCCCAAGAAATAGTATCTTAAGCTTTACATAAGTCAATTTTAATTAAACATCTCGGTGAAGCACTAGTCCACTATAAAGCCTCACAAGTTCTTGGGTGATTAGAACATTATGCAATAGAAGTCTACCCTTTACAAATTCCCCTTGATTAGTATCAATAATGGAAGGTAGGACTCTGCTCAATCTTTCACACAAGAACTTAGAAACACATTTATACAAAGTGTTACAACAAGCAATTGGCCTAAGTTCACTAGCCTCCGCAGGTGATAAACACTTCGGAATACCTTCTCTGTTTTATAGAGCTCTTGTACAGCATCCACCACATTTCATTGAACAATCTCCCCAAGATAGAAAAAAACCACTTCCAAATCCGTCTGGGCCTGGACTTTTATTTCAATTAATCCCGAACATGGCTCTCTATCTCTTCAGTGGTAAACTTAGCTGATAACACCACTTGGTCCTCCAATAACACTTTGGGTCCATAGTGAAACACTTCGATCTAGCATTAATTATTGGAACAGTAACATCCAGTAAATTCTGGAAATATGTTATGAAGTGTGCTTCCACCAAGTGCCAATCTCCAATCAACTTACCTGCTCTGTCATATACGATAAAACTCTGTTTCTTGCTTTCTTAGCTTTTATTGCAGCATCGAAGAACATAGTGTTTGAGTCACCTTGTTGCACCCAAAGCTCTTTACTTCACTGTTGCCAAACGCTTTCCACCATTTTGGTTTTTTACTATATACCAATCATGTAATGCTTTCTCTATTTCATGTAACTCAGCATTCATATTCTCTGTTTTAGCTCAGATTGCACCATATCCAATTCTGTCCCGATATGTTGTTACAGTTCTATGCCCTAAAATCTCTGTCAATTAAGTTCCTTAAGTTTTGGCTTCAACGGCTTCAATTTAGTAGCCACTTGAAACTGTCTAGTACCGACAACATTTGTACTCCAAAAGGCTTCTCTATACTCAAAAAAGAACCATCTTTACTCCACATGTTATAGTATTTGAATGGCTTCTTTCCTGTACTTCTACTCTGCTCCCAATGCAAAATAAGGGGTAGTGATCCGAAACACCAACATTAGGGACATTTACATAAGAGCTGCCATATTTCCTTATCCACTCACCAGTTACTAAGACTGCCTAATTGCGAGCAATGTTCACCCAACTTATTGTTCAACCAAGTGAACTTGCCACCTTGAGTCCTTATTTCTCGAACCCTACATGCGTCCACCATCATGTGAAACTCCTCCACTTCTCGGATAGTGGGAACAGCCCCCACCAATCTTTTCTTCAGGATGAAGGAGACAATTAAATTCTCCAGCCAAAATCCAAGGAAGCTGAACCTGCTTAGATAATTCCATAAGATCAAACCATAATTTTGTCCTAATAGATTGGGTATTGGTTGCATAGACAACTGTCTATATAATTCCTTCGACTTCCCATTTCAACCACGTGAGAATAAATGAACTGATCATCAACTTTTTCTACCTGTATCTTGTGTTGACCCTTCCTCCATAATAAGATTATTTTGCCCTTAAGAGCTCCCACTTCATTGCTACCATACTCTCAAAGTTCCACACCATCTATCCATGATTGCCACACACCTGTCTTTAGTTAATTTATTCTCCAATATCCCTGCAATTCCAATTTTATCTGAAGCCATTATATGTTGAACTTCTCTGTGTTTCAGGAAGTTGTTGAATCCCCTGATATTCCGAATCTTCTCCTTTATCAGTCCCATTCACATGCCTACTAATCACCAGATGAGGTTGGTTGTTTGACATCATAACAGTATCATGAACCTGTATCCTTCATACACATCTCACCAGCCTCAGGGATCATTTTTTTGTTGTGGCACATCATTCTGCTCTGTATCGACGTCCTGATCGTTCACTTCAATTGGATCATCAGCCACTTTAGGTTTCCATATCTTATCAGGCTTTGGCTTCCAGCAAATACTAGAGTCATGGCCATATCCCTTGCATTTTTTGCACTGGACTGGCCTCTACTCATAGACTATTCTCTGCTCCATTAGGATCCGAGCCTCATTCAGAAAAGTAACCACATTGGGGGTGGTCCTCTTGTATCTCCATTTCCATTAGCACACGGGCAAAATTCATTCGGGGTTTATTTCTAGTCATGAACTTGCACCCTTGCTTCTCACTGTATGAAAAGGTGCTTCATTGTTTGATAGTTGAAATTTTTTCATCCCTGTAGTAGACTTTACAGTGTCAGACAGACCATACGACAGGGTTGCTGTTCTTTGTGAATACTAACAGAAGCTTTTAATTACCTTAAGTTTGTTATGATTGTAGCTGTTGTCCTCTGTTATTTTCTTTTGAGGAGCAAGTCACTTTTGTTCTTTGTTATGTGAATGTGAAAGCCTTTTGGTTGTGATATTTTACCCCTTGCTTAATTGAAGGTTTTCTTCCTGTCCCATGTATACGATTTTTCTTGTGTGTGAATTTGGCTGATGAACATTGCTGCTTTTTCAGAACCCATACTCAGTCAATATTGTTCTTGCTGGCTACGACAAGGAGACTGGTCCTTCGATGTTCTACATTGATTACATTGCTAGTCTTCACAAGGTTGATAAGGTAGCATTTGGCTATGGCTCCTACTTCTCACTCGCCATGATGGATAGACACTACCGGAAAGATATGACTATTGAAGAAGCGATTGAGCTGGTGGACAAGTGTATATTGGAGATTCGCTCTAGATTGGTTGTGGCACCTCCGAATTTTGTGATCAAGATTGTTGATGAGAATGGAGCAAGAGAGTATGCATGGCGTGAAACTGTGAAGGAAGCCCCTGTTGCTTGAGACCTTTTCTTTTAGGATTCTCTAAGAATTAGCAATTTCAAGTTTCATAAGATTGTTATATGATTGTATCATGAAATTCTTGAACTGCTGCCTCTAATTTAGTGATCCATTGCATGTTTTCTTGAATATGTTCTGATGAGAAATATCCTTCTCATCCACATTGCAGTTAAGTCCATTGCGATCTGTTATTTAAATTTCTTGCTTCTTGTTGTGATTCACATATATGTGATATTATTGTTGTATTCAATACAAAACTGTTCCACAGTCACGGTAATAAGATTGCCAACTGCATTTGTGTATTTTTGGATTAGATGGGCAACACGATAATCCTAAATCAAAATCAACTCACAAAATTAGGTAAAGCTGAAGAACACTGCACTGTGCAAAGAGCAAAAATCCCTTGTTGAAATATAGGGTTTCACTTCTTTTTTTGCCCATATATATTGGAGGACCATCAATACCCCTTCTCCCTAGTATTTTCGGGCATCGTTCTCAGGGAAAAGAAAAGAAAAGAAAAGAAAAATTAGCATTTTTATTAGCGCATGAAGTATAACGTGTCACTAAATTTTCAGGTTTGATATGGATTCATTTGTTTGCCATTTTTTAATATTTCATTGCAGGTTTAATTTTACCCAGCTACTTGTTAAAATGTTCGAATACTTTAAACTTTCAGCTCCTTTTTTTTTTTATTTAATGTTTTTAATACTCTCTCCATCCGAAAATAATAATAAAAAAAATCTATATTTCAGTTTTGAAATTTATACTAGAACTAATACAAATTTTAAACTTGATATGAACTATTTTTGTTGGAATAGAGATAGTAATTTATACTACATCAACTCAGATTCTTCAGATTTGAGTTTTATGAGAGTTTTTCAATACATACTAGATGGTCAAGTTTTGACTAGATTTGGCTCTTGTTAGTATTTCTTTTATCATACGATTTTGAAGTCTGATTCTAATTTCGATGTTAGTTTTTCGTTTATGGGATAAGATGATTTTGAGGTACACTCCCATGTATGCACTTTTGCGTTTTGCTATGTTGATCTTGTGCCAAATCTTATCTCGCACTTTAAATTTTACATGTCAAAGAATATTACAGGTTGGATACAACGTCACATTGATAGTATATACTATATTTTATGTATCAGTATGGATTTTTAACAGTTATACTTGGTAGAATGTTCAAATTTGTCTAAACTTTCAGCCCTTGACTTTTTAGTTAATCAATTCACTGTCGGACATGATAATATTGTAATTAAGAGAGTTTTCACTTCATTTTAAGAGGACTCAATGAATGTGGTTCTTGTTCGGGTTTTCTTTCATCGCTTCTCATTTTGACATCTCATATCCAGTTTTAATTTCATTCATAGCGTAGTTTTTTTAAATGTTCATGTGAAAATACGATTTTCAGGGATACTTCTATTTTTGACCGAACAAGACTTCTCATATCTAGTTTTTGTTTCATTCATACTACACAAACTGAATACGGTTTCAATTTTATACTTTTCCCCTACATTGTTGAATGCTTATGAGTGAATACATCTTAATTATATCACAATTTCTATTCTAATTTGATATCCCAGTGCTATTCTAATTTCACTTCAAGCAATTTCTTTAAGTTTATAATAAAAGAGGATTTTCAAGTATACTTCTTATTTATTTATTTATTTATTTTATTAGTGGAACCAGGGCGGTACCTGGCGGGTATTCTCGCGATTTTATTAATTAAAAACAAATAGTATAAGAAGACAGTTTTTAAAACTTACCCCAATCCAAAAGAGACCGTCTTACAATTAGTTTTTCTAAAAACTCCATGATGGTACTCTAACTATTCTAAAGCTATGAACTGCCTTACAAAGATAAGACACATATTCTTTGACAGTTCTTAATTAAAACTAGATGAATTTTTCTTAAAAAACTAAGAGATGTCTTACAAAGATTTTAGACAAAGATCCTATAACATCTCTATATATCTTAAACTATGTATGAAACTATCTAACATGCAGATAAGGAAAACTATTCCGATCCAAATAAATCTTACCTTGCAATGATGTTGGTAAGGCTTCCTGAGAAGGATATTGCAATGTACTTCCTGTTGGAAATGAGTACTAAGTGAATAAGAATTAAGTTTCCCAAGAGTTGAAAAAATAGAGTTAAGACTAAGGGACTTTGTTCCACATTGGTGTTGGGAATGTTAGTGTATATATATATTAGGGTTAGTGTAGGGGTATTGTTGTAATCCTACTGTAACCATGTACACTATATATATGTTAAATCAATACAGAATGACCTATGGGTTTTACATATCTTCATGGTATCAACCGCTTTCCTGGGACGTAATTTTTTTTTAGGGTTTTCAGCTGCCGTTCAATTCTTGCTTTGACAGCTTCCCTAGTTTCTTCTTCCGGCAACCTCTCTATCCTGCCGTTACCGACGCTGCTTGTTGTTGCCGTTGCGTTGCCATTCAATTCTTCTCACCGACGCTGCTTGTTCTTCTCTCCCGTTCTTGCATTCTCCCGTTGCTGCTCTTCTCACCGCCGTTGCTGTTCTTCTTGTGGTGCTGCTGCTGTTGCTTGCTGTTCTTCTCACCGCCACTGCTGTTCTTCTTGCGGTGCTACTGCTGTTGCTGTTCTATTGCTGCTTTCACGCTGCACTTCTCTTCTCTTTTCCGCCGTGCTGTTGCTGTTGCTGTTCTGCTGCTGCTTTCACGCTGCTGTTGATGTTGCTGTTCTCCGCCGTGCTGCTGCTGCTGTTCTTCTCTTCTCCGCCGTTGCTGCTGTTGCTTCTCCTCCTTTGCTTCGTCACCGCTACACCCCTTTACCAGCAGGCTGCTGCTGCTTCGTCAGTCGACGTTGTTGCTGTTGCTTCGTCAGCCGCCGCCACTATATCACTGCTGTTGCTATTGCTGTGGTTTCGTTAGCCGTCGACGTTGGGCTGTTTCTTTTCTGTCTTTCTGTTGCTGCCTCGGTTCTCTTCTCATGGCCCAAGGCGAAGGTGATGCTGCCCCTCATGATCCGAAGACTCCTACCTCATCTCGCGTTACTACTGATGCTCCTTATGGTGCGTCATCTCCAGTGAGTCGTCATCCAGCTTTCTCCCTCAACAGCATCAAGAATCACGTCTACGAGGTTCTTGATTTTTCCAATTACTTGATTTGGTGAGAACTTTTCATTCCAGTTCTTAAAGGGCATCAAATTTTTTGCTTTGTTGATGGTACCAATCCTTGTCCTCCTCTTGGTGATCCTGACTATGATCAATGGGTTCAGCTTGATTCTCTCGTGCTCTCTTGGATTCAGGCCACTCTCTCTCATGAGATTTTGCACAATATCATCACTCCGGGTACTTCTCTTACTGCTCAATCTGCTTGGGACAAGATTGAAAAGATTTATCGTGATCATGTTGAGTCTAGAATCGTTCATCTTCGTCAGGAATTTTATCATTGTGAAAAGAGTGATCTCTCTATGTCTGCTTTCTTAGATCGTCTGAAAGAATTGTATGATTGTTTGGTCTCTATCGGTGATTTAATAACCTATCGTGATGTTGTCATGCAAGTTGTTATGGGATTGGGTCCTGAGTATAATGCAGCCACTTCTCAGATTTCCGCTCAAAAGCCACTTCCGACTTTTGATGAGTGTCGTTCGTGGCTTCTGCTTGAAGAAGCCAAATTGGTGAAACAACATCAGAGAGCCGTGTTGGGTTTGGCCTCTTCCCAAGTCCTTGTTGCTCAGCCAGTTTCTTCGCCGAATGTTGCGTCTATTCCTTCTCATGCTGCCTATGCTGCAGCTCCTTTTCAGTCTTCTTCGTCATCTGGAGGACGACGTGGAGGTGGTCATCGTGGAGGAGGTCGTCGTGGAGGTGGTCGTGCAGGATGGCAGCAACCGGGCTTTCGTCCGAATCCTGCTGCTTCTTTGATTCTTGGTGCACCTCCCCCTTATGGGAGTCCCGCGCCTGCACTTCCTCAATTCTAGCATTCTGTCCAATGCTACAACTGCCGAGGTTATGGCCATGTTGCTCGGTTATGCGCTTCTGTTGTTATGAACGCAAGCCACTCTACTCCGGCATTTACTGCATATCCGGCTTCCTCTCAATCTGCTGCTCCATGGCACTTTGACTCCGCTACAGGCGCAATATGACGAATGACTCTGGTAAGCTTACCAATTTATCACCGTATTATTGTCCTGATAAAGTGTGTGTTGGCAATGGTGCTTTGCTTCCTATTGAATCCCTTGGTACTTCCAATATATCCACTTCTAGTCGTTCTTTAGCTCTTAATAATGTTCTTTATGTTCCATCTCTTACTGCGAATCTAATTTCTGTTCGCCATTTCACTACTGATAATCATTGTTCTGTAGAATTTGACCCCTTTGGTTTTTCTGTTAAGGATCTCACAACGAAGACGCAACTTCTTCGGTGCAATAGTTCTGGACCTCTCTATCCTTTCATTGATTGCCCTACCTCCTCTTCGGTTCCTGCCTTAGCTGCATATCGGTCGACTTCCCAAATCTGGCATCGTCGATTAGGTCACCCTGGCCAGCGTGTTTTGGCCAACTTAATAAATGCTTCTCTTATTTCTTGTCCTAATTCTACTCTAGATTTGTGTCATGCTTGTCAATTAGGGAAACATGTACGTTTACCCTTTAAGTCGTCTTTGTCTCGGGCTACTGCGCCTTTTGAGCTTCTTTATTCTGATGTGTGGTTTTTTCCAGTTGTCTCTCCTACTGGATATAAATATTTTGTTACTTTCTTGGATGATTATAGACATTATTCTTGGGTGTTTCCTCTTCGCTCCAAATCTGATGTTTTCTCTTGTTTTCGTAACCTTTATGCCCATGTCCAAACTCAATATAATGCCGTCATTCATAACTTTCAATGTGATCAAGGAGGTGAATATGAAAATAATTCTTTTTTTGCAGTTCTTTCAAACTAATGGCATTCACCTCCGCTTGTCTACAACTGCTTGTTCTCAGCAAAATGGTAAAGCTGAACATCTTAATCGTACAATTGTCAATATGGTTCGAAATCTTTTATTTCAGGCTTCTATGCCTCCTCTTTTCTGGGTTGAAGCTCTTCATACTGTCACCTATCTTCTCAATCGTCTTCCCACTTCCCTCTTACAGAATAAAACTCCTTATGAGGTTCTTCACCACAAGCTTCCATCATATGATCACTTGCGCACTTTTGGGTGTGCATGCTACCCTAATCTTTCTCACACCACCCATCATAACTTAGCCCCCCCGTTCTACTTTGTGTGTTTTTCTGGGTTATCCTTCTCACCACAAAGGCTATCGTTGTCTTGATATTACTACTAATAAGGTCATCATTTCTCGTCATGTTGTTTTTGACGAGAACATTTTCCCTTTCACTTCCCTTTCTTTGTCTAGTTCCTCCTCTAACTCTAGTTCTAACCCTAAAAAAAAAGAGTTAGAGCTCACTTTATAAGTGAATTTGCAAGTTGACTTGCTAATACTATACTACATCTCTTCGCTCGCGTGCGCCCGCGCAAGGGGGGGGGGTGCAAATAGAGGTCCGATCGGGGCCAAAATAGCTTGACTCATGTGTGCG